CAGAAGACAAGCTCCCTAGGCTCAGGACGCAGAGGTGGGCAGGACAGGAAGCCAGCACCTGTCCTGCCCCCACACCCCTGAGCCCGAGGATTAAACACACATCCACCCTGCGGTATAACAGAGTAACTGTAATAGGGCATTGTCACAGGATCAATGTTTTCTGGTTTAAAAATAAACATCAGTATTTATTCAGCAGCAGCAGACTATTCATATTACCCCACCATACTGTTTTAGTCAACTGACGTCTTTTAATCAAAGCAATCCATATCATGGCAACATTCCCAGGTATCATAATTGCAAGTATTTATGGCAAGTTAGATGATAATAGCTTTATTTCTGTCGCGAGTTCTTTCTTTCTTCCCTACTGATTGGGTGCAGACGTTTTCTAATGAGTTATTTCCATTAAGAAGAACACCTAAAATCATTATATTCATTGAGACAACTGCTCACCCACCTCTGCCAGCTTCCCTTTTAACTATTACAACTGTTTGTGTGTGTTCATGTCTTCTAAGGTTTTCAAAATACCTCTGTAATGACAATAAAAGTGAAATCTTTGCTTTTCACGGTGGGGTTACAGTGGACAGAGGGAGGTTGGGTCTGCCGACTCGGGGGTGGGGGACCTTGTGCACCCTAACTGACGTTCCTGGAGGCCAGGTCTTGTGTGCGCCAGGTATGCGGCTGATGAGATCAGACTCAGGAGGAAGTGGGTTAGTGAATTTATCTTGCTGGGGATGCATTTCCACAGCCTCCCCAGCCTGCCTGTCAGCTGATGTGCTTTAGTGGGGTCTGCTGTGGCGGCCCCCTTCATTGATTTCCCGGAGGGGTCTGGGACCAGCAGCAATGCTGCTGTAATCCCCAGCAGGCCCCTTCTGTGATACCGATTTTTGCTTCACGTTTCACTTACAAGTTATGTAAAGCCTCCACGGAAAGCCTCATCATCACCTTGTGAGACAGACTAGTCATTTTCTTTCTCAAGCCCCCAAATTCATTCCCCAGGAGCGTCACGCAGCGATCTTCAGGCAATAAGAAAATGGAAAATGCACCTTTCTTTACTGTCTGAAGTGTGTTTAGTTTCCAAAAGAAAAATAAAGAAGCATCGGAATGACAGTCCTGACTCCGTCTACTTTACATGTAAAACCAACCACAGAAGGGATGAAGGCAAACACAGACAAGGTGCGTGAAGGGCCCGTGGTGCCGAGGTGGGCCCCCGCTAATTCACCGAGGCCTTTCTCACTGCCCCTCTAAGGGGTTTTTGCAGCTGAAACAGCGTCTTAGAGATTTAGGCCCTCGCAGGAGGCTTCCCAGAGACTGACTTCGTTCCAAACTAGAGGTTCTAGGAAGTTGCCCCGTTTAATCTCCTGGAAGCTTCATTTCCTCTTGTGCCAAACAGAACCTGCGCTCTCTGATGTATCACAGTTGTCATGAGGATTGAGTCAATGAGGGAGCATAGAGGAAATGCTCTCCACGGGGTGGGGAGGGTGTCCTAACAACAGCAACTTTCCCTGCAAGGCTGTCAGAGGTCTGAAGAAGGCTTTTAAAAAACAAACAAGAGAGCTTTCTCCAAATCCAACCAGGCCGGGAACTCTGAGGGACCCCACTTCTCATGGGGCACAGGGGGTCCTGAGTGCCTTTTCTGGTCTTGTGGGACCTGCTCGCCGAGCTGGAGTCGTCCATCTAACAGCGTGGTGGACCTCCTGAACACAACCCCATTCCTGCTCACATCTCAGCACCAGTGATTGCCACTCAAGGTTCACTGCGCCAGGTCTCCAGAGAGAGGGAACTCTGGTGAGTTAATGTAAGACTTCGGGCTCCTCCTGCTCCAGCCCCACAGCCTCAACAGGAAGGGGCCATGAGACAAGCCGTTCCTGCCCCAGCACCCCAGCAAGACGCTTGTCAGTGAACTGCCATCACCAACGGGGTGCAGTGGCCTCTCCACCTGCCAATGTTGATGTTACTCAAGTGTTCAAGGTGACTTTCAAGTCCACATCCACTTCTCTTGGTATTTTTTTTATCAACTATTTCACAAACCATAAACAAGAACTTGTAAATGAGCCAGTTCTTTATAGAGAAGGAACTGAAAATGATAAACAGCATTCTATATTGGCATGGATTCTGAGTTTGCAAATATATTTTTGTGTGCAAAAAAAATACACACCATTTGAAAAATGTTAAGCTACTTACATATGGTATATATGCTACACACACATAGCTTGTTTGCAAATTAATTTGAAAGGCTATTTAGCTGTGAGCTATCACTGCATTCAGTTATATCTGACTCAACACAGCCTGCAAGTCCAGTAGCGATACTTTCCAATAGCAATTCTTTTCCTGGGATTTTGTTTGAAAGCGTTTAGGTTTTCACGGATCACTGGAGGTTCTTCATTTTTTCCCCCTTCTGTGTTATGTAGGTATAAGCCGTCTCTCTAGGCATAAACTGTCCACTGGTAAAAATCAATTTTGATTTTATCAGTATTTATTACCGCTGGTGCCAGCAGTTTAGAAGACTAGAGAGAAGGAAAACATGCAAACTAGGAGAAGAAAAAAACAAATTAAAGCCAGGTCCTCATGCCTACAAATAACACAGCCTGCTGGTCCTTAAGAGGTATTCCGTATGGTGCCAAGGGAGCCTAAATTATCAATTATCAATCAATAAAAATCTATAGGACCCTCTTACTGCTTGCAATCGCTTTTGTATCTGTGAGCTCGGGGGCAGATATTTCTAAACCAGGGAGGGCACTGCCCTCACAGGTGCTATGAGCAGTAACTAGGGCTGCAGGCACCGGAGCAGCCCGACCGTGCCTGCCCAGCCTCCCTTCCCAGCTGACACTCTAACCTAGCTAGTTCCAAGCCAGTTTATTCCAATGACTTGACTCTCACCAGCTCAGGACAGAACAGTCTATGGGTAGGACCACACATCCATCTACCTGCCTCACTCTCAATTTCCAGAAAAGACACCCCAAATCTGCACACTCTTCCAGGTTCAAGATCTTGAGTGTCCCTGGCTCTTAAAATAATGAACCAGAGCAGTACCTGCTCCACATACATTCTCCTCTCCTGACATGCTCTTCCCTGACCAGGGTCACTGACGTGAGGTCCGGTCTTCCCATCACTACCCTTCTCTCCCTGGTGGGGGTTCCCTTCTTCCACTCAATCAGAAAGTTCAACAAACAGGTGTTCACCAAGTCCTAACCCCTAAAATGCAAATAGGTTTAATCAGATGATTAGTTAGAAGAGACAACCTTGGATTTTAAATTTTGATTTTTAGCTACACACAAATAGCCCACATCCTCTGAGATGTGGATTTCCTTTTTCGAGATGTACACAAAACACTGAGTCATTTTTAAACACCTGAAACACAGGCTCCCCATGCACTCTTTTTGAGAACTTAAGTCACTTGATACAGGCACCAGCAAATCTGTCTCACGGGCCACATCCCAGCAGCTGTTCTTGTGAATAAAGTTTTATTGGCACACACACCAACCTCCTTGAAGGAAGTCTTCCGACTCCTGCTCTAAGGAAATGGGGCTGCACTACACCCACAGGCACTATCTATGCATGCTCAGTCACATCCAGCTCTCTGTGACCCCATGGACTGCAGCCCGCCAGGCTCCTCTGTCCATGAGATTCCCCAGGCAAGAAACTGGAGTGGGAAGCCATTTCCTCCTCCGGCGGATCTCCCTGACCCAAGGATCGAACCCGCGTCTCTGGGAGCTCCTGCATTGGCAGGCAGGTTCTTTACCACTGAGATACCTGGGAAGTCCTCCTAATCACTGCCCTTTCAAGGCCAGGAGTTGCAGGAGATTAATCACATAAAGATTAACCTGCTGCAACTGCTATACTGAGCAGAAATGGCAGAATGCATACACTTCCCTGCTCATTCTTCTCACCCCTTTTCTTAAGTACCTAGGTCCACACGGAACAGACACTGGAGACCAACTTATAACCGCTGGCCGGGCTTCCACAGCTTCATGTGATGGGTCTGTGATTGGGAACTAGGTCTGTTCAATGTTTACCAAGAGTGTTCCACATATAAACATATGTATTTCTCATCCATAGGGTCCTTTTTCTTTTTTGATAGGGGTCATTTTTAAATCAACCTTCCAATGACAAAATAATAATGATAAAAATAGTAAGTACACCCCACCCACTTGGCAAAAGTGACAAAATGACAAAAGATCTCTTAATTTGGGGGCTTTATTTTTTTTTTTCTTTTTAAGATGCTACATAGTCAAACAGAATTGGATTGGTCTTTTACGGCATAAAATTAATTCACAGTCAAGCTCTCCATTACTACTTGACGGCTCATCCACAGTCCCTCTTGAAGCCCCTCCAGCACCATCCACCACACCCCGGCCCCGCCGAGCTGGCTCCCTCTCCCTGGCCCCTCTGCTGCCTGCCTCTCTCGCCCTGACTCCAAGTCAGGGCTGCCTGGGAAGGTCAGGACCACACTGGGGCATGGGTGCTGAAGTGTGGGTAGTAGTGAGGAGCAGAGAAAGACAGACAGCACAGGGACCAGCTACTCTTTCCCCTAGACAGTGACCTCGAGCTGACTGCCGCTACTGAGAGTCCTCTCCCCATGGTGGCTATCACTTATCTACACAGAAGACATTTCCTGGCAGTTCTTCTCCAACGTTCCCACGAGCACACCTCCGTGTGTGTGTGTGTGTGTGTGCGCGCGCACGTGTGTGCGTGCATGCACATGTGAGCACAGAGCCCTGAACCTTCGGCAGCAATGCCAGCTTCACTCCACGGTGTTAGGTAGCACAGGTGGGTTTTAGGCCACAGAATTAATTATAATCTTGTGACAGAAGACATGAGATGAAATACATTATATAAGTTAAATATGCATTAAACATCTCTGAATAATAATTCAATCTCACTACATGAACCAATGGTTATCTAGCTTGGTCCCTTGAAGAGAACAGCATTCAATGACTTTGACTTCCAGAGCGTCGGGTCAATCAGCAACACACACTCCCCACCGCTGATGAGCACAGCCGATGCGGCCACAGCTCCGCTCCTGGTGCCTTCAGGCCCTGTGCATCAGTCCCCAGGAACTGATGGCCAGGGTGGGCATGGAGAGTGGGCAGCGAGTGAGCGGCGCGGGCAAGGACATCGACAGGGTGGGCTCCAGCTTCCCAGAGGCCAGCACCAACAGACAGGGAAGAGTGTCATGTTTGCAGAGAGGAATTCCAGCAACGTGGACCAAGGCTATGGATGCTTAAAATGACATTCACAACATGCCATTACCATTTAATCATTGTTTCCCTTGTCATTAATAAGGTTCACTCTTTGCCCCAATCATTTACTATGCGTTTTAAACTTTCTAAAAGATTGTTATATTATGTTCTATTTGTGTGTGTGTGTGCATGTGTGCACATGGGTGCACACACGCAGGGAGGGGTAATTTAAAGGCAAGACCTGTGAGATGTCATCATACATTAATTTCTCTTTACACATGGTTATGATAAATTTAAATCCCACACTATGGCGGACCCATCAATCCAATCCCCGTCTCGCATGCTGCCTCTACAAGGCTATCTTCCCTATGATCACGCCAACGATGAAGAAGAGGACGACGAGCGCCAGCAGCCGGGTGCTCAGGCCCTCCTCCTTCCCAGCCGCGGCTGACGCGGGAGTGGGGCTGTTGCTCTGCACTGTCTTCCTCATCCGAAGTCCGTCTTCCTCCTAGGGGAACAAACACACGTTTCAAAGACAGTCCAAGCCACCAGCGCCAGCGGAAGGCAGCTGTACAGCTTAGCAGAGGTTTGGCAGGGTGTTATGCCCAGACTCCATCACACGATATGGTCCCAACCTCCTCATTTTGCAAATGGGAGAAACAGCCTACAGAGAAGAGACTGGCTTGAGGTCCCTCTTCTTCCATGCATCCACCACAGTGCTGCCGGCCCCTTTGTCTAAGCAGGGCACTAATGTGGTTCTCTGTGATTTATAGAAAAAAGTTCTTCAGAGAAAAGAATCCCAAGAAATGACCAAGCAGGGGACCTGGATGCTTTTAAATGTAGAGCTCTGTCCATGGTTGATACTTGGTGAGTTACATGGAGACTGCTGGACCAAAAATGGGATGTCTGTAATATCAAAGTATAACTGAACCTGATATACACGTCTCAAATATTTTCTACTTAATGCATGGAATTTCTACCAAAGAAGAAACAATCTTTTTCATACACATGAAGATAACTTGGCTATATTTTCCCCACCTACACAGACTTGTGAGAATCGACACTTTTCCTTTCTTCACAATCCCAAACAGGGAACGCATCAAGGCCTTCCTATTCTAATTACCCTCAATCCATCCCTGACACACCCTCTACAACAGCTGCACTTTCTTTTCCTCTCCTTCACTTCGTTCACACTCATCAAGTATCTGACAGATCTGACAACAGGCAGCCAGCCCCTTGAGCCCACCCCCCACAACACTCACAGCCACCTCTGTGGGACTGGTTATCAGTATTTGTGGCTGTGTCTCCCCGGCTACCCTGGGGCTTATCTTAAGGGCAGGGACCGCCCATGTCTGTATCCCACAGTGCTGGGCACATGGGAGGGTCTTAGGAAATGTGTGGCCAAATGAAAGTATGAAACAACACAAAACATGAAATCATTGTCTGGCAAGATAAAGAATCCTCTAATGTCAAGACTGGTCTGATAATACTTTAAAGACACTTTGCTCATGGGGCATGGCCAATATTGCTGCATGCTGATAAATGACTGGTGGTATTCGATTAACTTAAAAAAAAAATGGGCACAGCAAAACACAGCATTTATTTTATTGGGTTTATATAGAAGCTATTTCTACCTATTTATCACTTTAAATGGCACAGAAGAGAAACACATTCAAGTAGAAGCTTTAGGCGTATCTTAGACTTTTAGCCACAAGTAGAGTGTCAGCTTCATAATTTACTCCATACTAACAGCAGTCACTGAAAGAGGCAAATCACGATTACTGCAGAGAAAGACGAGGATGCCACTTCCTAAACTCCACTGGCCCCCCTGTGTCTCCCATCTCATCAAAGTAAGAGAAGGAAGATCACCTGCAGAGAACTTATGGTGTGTACCTGGCGCTATGCAGTCACAGTGACAGTCTATGGTGGTTGGGGACATGATCATGATGAAAAGAACAGATCGGCCTCAAGACTCAAGCTGCAACAAAAGATCCTACAATCAGATGTTCAGAAACACTCTCTTTAATACTGTGTATGAAAGACATACTTTCAACACTGGAAGGGGCCTTAACAGGGTATTGCAAACAGAGGCCAGAAGCCGCTGTAATGGACAAAGATACACAGCGAGTCCAAGTTTGGCTGGTCATTTCCACACTACCGCAGGTCCCCAAAGCCAAGAGCAGCACACCTGCCTCGCTCCAGCACCAGTGCAACCTCACCCCCCAATGCCAGGGCCACCCTCCGAAGCCAGGGCCACTTGCTGGAGCCCCCGGTTCCCTGTAATCTCCCCCATGGATGTGACAGCACCTCAGCTCCAGTCTCCTGACCAAGCTGACTGCAGCAAGAGACCCTACTGCCCCTGGTTCCCTATAATCTCCCCCACGGATGTGACAGCATCCCAGCTCCAGTCTCCTGACCATACTGATAGAGGATGAGACCCTACTGCTAGATCTATTTAGGATACTCAAAAATCAGAATGATGATTGCCTTAAAACAGGATACAGGTCAGTCTTTACTCTCTTCAAAAAGATTCTCATCCAATGGGGATGGAACAGGGGCTTGAAAATGTGAATTCAAGATAACCACTGTTTTTTTTTTTTTAAATTTCAATTTACACTAATGGATTTTTTGTTTATTTGTCTGCTGTCTTTTTATGAGGGGACAAGAATTTAAATAGTTGAAAAACTACTGCTCAAGGGACACTGGTTCTTAATTTGGGATGCACGTGGGCGTGTGTCCAAGGATTGCTTTGAGAACCTTAGGAAAGGTATAGAAACTTCAGCCTAGAGGAAAAACGTACAAATACAAGACAACTCCACAAATTCGGTGTTTCATCAACCTCCTCACCCAAGACCATAGTAGCAAAGCTCCCATTCCCTGGACACAATCAGGAAACAAAATGCCATTACCTTGAACTGCTTGTTCTCCTCCCGCAGCCTCTGGACTTCACTCTGCAGCCTCTTACACTCTTCCATCACCTTCTTAACTTCAGTGTCATCCAAGGAGGAACTCAGAGCTTTAGACACCGTTGGTGTTTCTGTCTTTGATGCAGTTGTGGGTATAATTTTATTTATTTCTACATCATGCTGTTCAGAAATAAATGAAAGCCCAAGTGTCACCAACCACGTATTAAAGGACTTCTTCATGCAAAGTAAAGTAGTTCTCAGCAGACACCACCCAGGGTAGCGTTTCATCCACACCGTACAATGTCACGTTTACTTTTAAAACAGATCACTTTATCATCCAGTATCTTCATAATCTAAAACTGGGCTCCAGAAATTATGGATGAGGGCAAATAATGAAGCCTGGCTGAGACTAACACTTCAAAGAAAGAGAAAAGGGACTGTGCGCACTGCACTATCAAATTCCTGCCATGAAAAATTAGCAGAGCGTAACTGTGCAAGCTCAGGAATTATGAGCCACAAATTACTGTCACTACAAAGATCTGAACATCCCCCAGACTGCCTGGGTGGGGATAGAAGGCCAGAGGGGACGTGACCCAGAGGATGGTTTGTCTCCTGAACTTAGACAACTGCAGAGATGGGATGAAGGTGCAACAAACTCAGCGTCTGTGCTTATTTCAGCCCGGGGAGGCAATGTGTTCCTCACTTCCCCAGCCACAACTGCGCTGTGACCCCCTCTGGAGACCCACTGGGGAGGAGTGTGTAAGTGGGGACAGGGGAGGCATGGAAGCCCTCGGGGGTACCACGCAGCAAACGGAGAACAGCGAGCTCTACCCTTAGTCTCCCAGGGCAGAGGAGTGAGGCCCTGGCAGGCAAGACCTCAACACACAGAGCTAACCTCTGAGCACACAGCTGGAGCCAGAATACAGTCCTCAACTATCCACAACTGACAGAATGTGCCGTGGGAAGAGGGAAGGGAAAAAAGGAAAGACGACCACCACTCATTCAAAGAAATGGGATAGTGACGGTGGTCAATTAGCGAGCCAAAAAAAAATGCTAAGTAGTTTTGTCACAAAGCTTCAGCATTCCTGGAGATCGTTATGGGTAATGTTGAGAGCTTGAACATTTCTATTCCCACCACCAGCTATTAACAACCAGGGTGGTATAATATTCTGCATGGATTTTAAACTGTGTTAACACAGTTTAAGTTTTTTGACTAGGGTGAAGGGAGGTCCATGCCAACCAGGCTCACGCTTTGGTTTCACATAGAGAAAAGTGAGCCGGCAGCTGGGAGGGAGTCACTCCTTATCCTCAGTGCTCAGGCAGCGAAGGGGGTGATTCTCAACGGGAACTGACTCTGCCTTGGGAAGGGCATACGGGGCAATATCCGGAGACGCTTCTAGTCATCACGACATGGGAAGCTACTGGGGTGAGATCAAGGGTGCCGCAGCACACCCTGCAAAGCACAGGACAGCCACACAGTGAAGGACTCCTGGCCCCAAAGTTAGCAGTGCTGAGCGTGAGAAATTCTCATCTAAAAGCACATTTTGACTGAAGAGAATCCGGGGTTCAAGAGGTAGAGAGTTGGTGCTCAGGAGAAATGCAGTGAGGGAAGCCAGGAGACAGTACTCTGTACAAGGGGAGCTGAGCGCTCACCACCGCCTGTCCATCAAGCACCAGGATAAATGGCAAATTATTCTGTTTTTGTCTTTCCCACTGTTAAATATAACAGCAACCTAGAACTTTGCCCAAGTCAAAGAAGCTCTTCGGAATTTATGACATTTCAACAGTCAACAGGTTGTGCTTTTCAAAGGCAAAAAAAAAAAAAAACGTTTCAATGAGTTCTTTCTGTGAATCTTTCAAAGGCAGATTTCACAAAGGCCCACTTATTTGTTGACTTCAGCTCATTTTTCTCTTCATACATCAGAAGAAGGAAAATAATTTGCCAACTTAAATCTTGGTTTTGCAGGAGATGGTATGCAAATAAGTATCAGCTTGCAACATTCAATTATTGTTAACTATAAACATACTTACTGGTTTATCATTTTCTGCTGGCAATTCAAACACACATCTAAGTTTTGAATCCATAAGGTCTTCCGGTTTTGCCTCCTTCCACTAAAACAATTTAAATTCAATAATCAGAATATTATAAAGCTGCTAGAAGAATGATTTTCTTCCTATAACTGACAATTTCAGAAAAATACGCTTAATGAGAAAGCCCTGATGTACATCAAATAAAGAACTTAAGTCTGCTGAGATTTCAATATTTTTAACGTGACAAGATTAAACACACCAGCTCCCCTGAATATTGATTCTTCTTCACCAGCCCCAGCCGTGCTGCCCGACTCCTCCACGTCCACTAGCGCGCCCTATCACCAGGCTGTGAAAAGCACACAGGACAGAGTGGACGGCCACTGGGCCCAGAGGAGCCTCCAGCCTGCATCTGGGCAGCCTAAGGACATCTGGGCTCTCCTTAAGAAAACACAGCTTACTTCGCAGGGCGTGTCTTTCTAAGTGGAAGCCCATACTACTTGGCGGTGGTTTTAGAACACTGCTAGCTACCAGCAGGGCACGGGAACAGGAAGGCCACTCTCTGTGACCCCTACTGTCTGGGCTGACCTCCACTCCCTCAGCCTGCTGGTAGGAACATGTTCCTGACTAAATCCATGTTCTGGGAGGAGGCACTCCTGGCTTACTGCTCCTCGTTTTGGCAGAGAAGAACAGGAATCCCAGATATTCAGAGAACTATAGAGTAAACCTGCACAGCAAGAAGGTGATACAGCAGAAGGAACGAATTCCCCCACCCTGACCCCAGAACCATGCAGGAGGCAGAGAAAGCAACAGGTACCATAAGTCAAAAACGGGAAATAATTTCTGTGTCAAGCAAAACAGGAACACCAAGTAAGCCGTGGTGGGCACAGTCATGGAACAGCACGCCATTCAAGGGATACCAAAGAGTGTTTAACTACATGGGGAAAATTCACAGAATATAGATGAAGAAACAGCAAGCAGTATTTTAAGTCTGCTCCTCTGTATACACACACACGTGCACGCACAGATACATGTGCCTGTGTGCGTGTATCATAAGAACTTCAGGCAAAGATCATCTCAGCGTGCTAAAAATCACAGAGTGAAAGACTGTTGGCAGGCAGGAAGTTCAGTGGTCTTCGAGGATCTGACTGCTCTGAGTATCACAGATCACCCATCCCTTAACCACAGGGGCAAACGTGCTCTGCACTGGACAGAGCTGGCAGTCACCACCCTAACCAAGTAATCAGACCTGGTGTCACCGAAGAGGGGTATGATGCACACAGGACACTGCCTTGCAAAAAACCAAAAATACCGAACCTGAATTTAGTCATGAGGGAATAATTAGATAAATCCAGAATGTGGGACATTCTACAAGGCACCTGTTCTGGACTGTAAACAGGATGAATATGCACTAGTAAAAGAACAACGAAAGGCCATTTCTTGAACAACTGGGAAAGGCTAATATGGGTTTCTCTCTTAAACACATTACTGAATTAATGTTAAGCCTCTTAGCCATGAGTGACAAGCTACTTAACAGGACTGAGCCTATCAAAGAGCCTGCCCTTGTTACAATGCATTCAGGGATGGTGAAGTTTCATGAACAGTGCATCTTACAGTCAGGGAACTCAGCAAAAAAGAAAGTTTATGACAGAAAAGAAGCAAACATGGCAAATTGTTAAAAGGTGAATCTTAGTAAAGGTTAGAAGAGTAGGCACTACTGTTTTTTCAACTTTCAGTACATCAAAAATATGAAGAATAATATTTTAAAGTAAAGAAATAATAGGCTCTCACTAACAGTGGTTGGGTCTAGTATAAACAAACTATAGGTCACATAGTTTTATTTTTGCTTGTTTGTATGTATCCCAGATTTCCAACAAAGTACATTTAATTTTTTAATTGTTATGAACATTATCAGGAAAGAAAGTAAAACTCACTTTTACTGCACCCTGAGGCCTGGCCTACAGCAGCACTCAGATAAGACAGTGCCAGATACTCGGCCACATGTTCCACACGCAGCACATGTAATCCCACAGCAGCCCTGGGGACCAGGTTTTTTCCCCCATTTTACACATGACCAAACCCTCAAGAGAGTTAATGAAAACTGCCCAAGGCCACAATGTTAGTAAAAGGCAGAGTCAGCCTCACACCCAAGACACCCAAGGCCATGCTCTTTCACCAAGCCATGCAGCAAAGCCAAACAGAACAGATTCTTGGAGAGTCCACGTTGTGCCTTTGCCATACATTTTTTTGATCATACAAAGTAACATGAAGAGACACACCATGTTCCAGGAAGTGAAAGTAGTGAACGGTATCAGTAATTATTTCCCTGAGAAGGAATGTTAACACAAAGCCTAAGATCGCTGGTCTCTCTGAAACCTCAAATGTCTAGTTTACCCTTCACTTCCTGCCCAGGAGTTACATAAGCATGAAGGTGGTCAGCTGTGCTTTTCTAAGACTGAGAGAAATGGCTGTGTGGTCACACGGGGGCCTAAAGGTAGGATGTGCATGAAACAGTACTTCAAATAAAACTTCGAAAGAGAAAAAAATAACATAGTGTGAATCCTAGCTAACTCGAATTTGAAGGCATTCCTTGGACGACTCCAGTCTCTAAGTTTCAGCTGGTGATCTGGAAAGCTGTGAAAATGTTGAGGCAGTCTTGCCCTTCTTTTCCAAACTGTGAGGACTAGACAGTCTGTCCTCCCTGGTGTAGTGGATATTAGGGGTCTATCAGTGTTCTGTGACTCTCACTCACAGCACCAGGATGCGTGCTGATTCATTCACGCGTGCAAAAAGCTGGGGGTAGAACTGTCATTACAATAATCTTCCAGAGAAATCAATACAGGGGACTGGATGTGGGGCTCTGTCCCCATGGCTACCAAAATCCGTGGGCGCTCAAGTCCTTCATATAAGATGCTGCTGCTGCTGGCACTTCACATCCACAGAGCAGAACCCAGAGAAACGGGGGCCAACTATAATGTATCAATTACTTATTTTATGAAAATGAAGTCAACTTATTTTTACCAAAATTAAAAGATGGAGTTGAACATGTATTTAAGGGGAGGGGGGGGTAGAAAAACTGAAGGAATCGGGGCGGGGGGGGGCAGGGATACAACAACAAAACAAAGAATCGCACTTACTGGAACCAAGCAGGGGAAAAAAAATTAAAGGGTTGAAGGATATTTAGCATTCAACTCTCCCCCATCCCTCAAGATTCTGGGGGATGGGCAAGAAGAGGCAGAAAGCGTTTTCTAGAGTAAAAACTGCCCTTTTCTGTAGCAGGAGGGAAAGGGGTGAAGGGAGAGAACCCTCAGACCATTCAAGACACAACCCACCAGAACAAGGGACTGCTGAAGGAAACCAAGTAGAAAAGTCAGAAGAGTGTTCTAAAAGTTACATAAAATGTTAAAATCAAAGTTCTAGAAACCCATAAAGGCAGTCAAAGTACAAACCTCCTGAAAAGCACCATTCCCCTTAAAAACAATTCGGACATATTTTGAAATGCATGCACCCACAATTCTGCACCTATTCATTTTTTTTTTTTTTAATTACTGGGGGGAAAAAAAAAGCATTCAGTACTTACTACTGCTTCCATATCAGAAGTGTCAGTTGGAGCAAACATAGACTGAACCATAAACTTGTGTTTACTTTTCTCATTGGGATCATAATCGAAAGGCTGTAACATCACTGAGAAAGAAAATATTTCATTAGGAGGGTCAGAGCTTGGTTACCGGCAGCCATTTGTTACGTTAATACTTGCACTTTGGTGGTAAAGCAGTTCACCAGGATGCTCTTCTCTGAGCCTCGTGAAGCCCCTGGTGAAGTGAGCAGTCTGAGATGAGCAGCCTCTTCCCCACCCTGTGGGTCTCAGACCTGAGGTCAGGGACATGAAGGGACTTGCCTGAGGTCAAACAGCAGGCAGTGGCAGAGCCAGGACCGGGGCTTAGGACCCAGGTCTTCAGACTCGCAGCCCCTGATCTGCCACCACAGCACACCTGACCAAACTCCTGCCACAGGCCTTCCATCCAGGTCAACCAGACACAGACACCTGTGCCTGTTCTGCTCAGGAAGGCACCCGCCAATGATCTCCTCAGGGACTAAGGACGGTCCACAACATCTGAGGAGCGGTTCAGGCTTCTCTCTGTGCTATTCTCCATGTCAAGACTGTCACGGTCACACTTCAAACACAATTTTGCCAAGATGTTAGAGAATTCTCACAACCCGCACCCTCACAGCATGGAGAAGACCCCACCAGCTTTCACAAGCTTTCTCTCAAGAACCCAGAGGACTCTCCCTTGCAGGCTCCCCGGACCAAGCACACCCACTGAAGGAGGGCCAGCCTCCCCAGGACCTACCACCCTACCCCGCTGAAGGACGGCTGCTTTAAAACACGAGGCTTCCTACAAGGCTTTGAGAAACCACACATCTAGTTGAGCTCCCTGACACCTAACTTGTTCACACACAGGGAAAGCCTGCTGTAGCCCTGATGAGAGAAGAGCTCCCCGGGACTGAGAGTCCCCCGGGGCCAGAAGCTGGGCTCTGCCCTTCAGCTTTACCATCACTTCAGTTAATCCTTCAGAGGCAGGGAGTGCTGCAGAAGGTATTCTGATGCTTACTTCCAGATGGAAAAACTGAAGCACAGAAAAGTCATAGCTAACTTGCCCAATACCATGACGGAGTGGTCTGATTGGAGGGCCAAAAGTTCAGGGCCACAAGAGGGCTGGATCTCTGTCCGTCCCCACCAGCACCTCCTGTGCTGGCCACTCACCAGTGTTCTCCTGCCTTTGAGCCCACTGAGAACTTCCTGGGTCCTTAAAGCCTCACAGTCAGCCACCCCTGCAGCAGACAACTGGCCCTGCCCTAAGCCTGGTTTATAAAGGAATCCAGGACCCAACAAGGTGAGGGACCTGCTCAAGGTCACCACGCTGGTAAGCAGCAAAACATGCAGTTCAGCACCCCTCCTGGATCCACACTGGATACTGACACGAGGTGGGGTCACAACCCCAGATCCCCCATCACGGATATTACGCGTGACGAGGAGGAGGAACACAAACATCCCTTTCTGTCATGGAGGTGCACGGGTCCTTTCTCTCTTGGGGACAGAGAAAGTCTATCAATAAAATAAATATGTTCAATCTGAGGATCTGATATTCAAAGTGAAATCATCAGCAGAGAGAACACAAAGTCATTTAAAACAGGGACAGGACCACTCCACTTGAAATTTTATTCTTGCAGGTGTAAAGGCATGGCTCTATCCTGGAAAAGCAGTCCTTGCTGGTGGCCTGGGACCTGAAATGGAGACAAGTCTGCTGCTGGCATCGCTGAGCTAGCAGGAGCTCTCTTGGAGCACTGCTACACACTGGGGCTTGATATTTAACCCCAGGGACAAATGGCCTGAGTAGCAGGTCAACACCACAGACTTTTATTCTGAAAGCTGAATTTCCATTGCATTTTTTCCACCTCTAAGACTGCAGTAAGGAAGATGTATGTGATAAAGAAGCCACTGTCTTCACATGCACTGTGACCCTGCCTGGACAGGGAATGTCAGCTTTACTGGAGCTGGGTCACAGTCTTCCAACTACTATCAGATTAATGTTCATTTAAAAAAATTAAAGTGAATTAGGTTTTGAAAATTTCATATCTCACCTGGCTGTGACAAAATCACACTCTAGTATTTTTTCAGAATGGGAAAGACTTAGTCTTAGACTGCACTTAGATTTCCGTAGGGCACAGGTCTAGCAGAAACACTGCCTCGTCCTTGAGGCTCTGCTTTCCCAGCTGTGAATGGCTTCCAGTCCTCCACTGTGGAGGCCTCTAAGGCTGAGCCAGGATTATCTGTAAAGATGCCCAGGAGATGAGGGCAATCAGAAGACACTGCTAATTCTTAGAGAAGTTGGCTCTTTAGCTTAATGATACTGGGTCACACACAAAGAACGGTTGCATCCAGAGACCCTAAGACAACCCCACATAAAGAGTTGTTTCCTCCCACTCTTTTCCCCTTTCCTCCAGGAGCTGCAAGCCAGGAAGAAGGGCGTGTGGGTTGCAGGCCCATCCTACAGTAAACTGACCCTTCCTTTTCATCTCTCCATCTCGCACCATGCTCCTGTCTCCAGTGCCTTCACAATGTCCCAAGAGAAAAAGGAAAACCACTTTTACTGGCATGTAGTATGGACCAGGCACCAAAGAAGGCATATTTTCCTTAGTTCTTCCACCAGTCTTCACAACGATCATAAAGATGGCCACGTCTTCCTTTTCTAGATGAGAAGACAGGGCTTAGAAGGGCTAAGCAGTCTTGCTTGGGCCCCATGGCCAGTATTAACTGATGGACCAGTACTCCACCCTGGTTCTGTGTCCACAGCACAAGTCCTCCAAGCATTACTCACAGACCCTGAGACACCTCCACCCCCACGTCAGGTGGTCCACAAAGTCAAAGCTGGTCCTGATGATACCAAGATATCACATGTCTTTTCCACTGCACTGCTACGCCCAGTAACGGTGGGCACAAAAGCAACAGTGGGTGAACCTGCTGGTGCCCGAAAGGATGGCAAGCACTGCCACTCACGTGCAGTGTGGCATCTCTGCTGCCCTGGGAAAAGCACTTGTGTAACCATTCCGGGTTGTGAGCTAAACTGGATACTTTCTCATGGAACCACTGACAAAAAAACCATGGTCATTCACACCTGGGTATACGGCAGATATTTTCCTAAAAATGAATGAAGTGACCCGGTCACCGTAAGGAAAACAACTTGTAGCTGTTGTCGGTGATAAAATCCAGGCTTTCAAAAAAACTTAGAATCTTGGGAAACCTCTCTCGGCTACCATGAGCTTCAGTTTCCCCAGTGAGATCAGTAAGGAGAGTTAACAAATGTACGTTTTTGATACTGGATAATGCAATGCGGCGACAGCTGGAAGGTCTGTGTAACTCAGCTGGCATAATACTATCAAAGCTATCAAGTGCGAGTGAAACCAATGCATCTTGGTGAAACAAAGTTCAAATGGTTTATTGGCATGGTGTCAGAGTCTACACTGTACTGATGAACTTGAAGAAAAGTGTTGCTCGGCAAGTTCCGGCATAGTATCAAAGAAGAATACCTACAATTACAATACGTATCAGTGGTAAAGGTGGTTTTACTTTATATACATTCACTGAAACAACATACTGTGACAGACCGAAATGCAAAAGCAACTGAGAGAATCCAGCCTGTCTTCTATCAAGTCAGAAATTAAGGAAATTTGCAAAACATATCAAATGATGCCATAATTTTTTGAAAAGTTATCTTTCACTAAAAATATGTGAATTGTATTTATTAAAGTTGTTATGAAAGAATTAATACTTTTTAAATTTCTCAGTTTAATTTGCAATACGACAAATATTGATTCAACCCACAAACAAACAAAAAAAAAACTTTTTTAGTCTTTAATTTCTAAGCATATACAAAAGGGGCCCTGAGACCAGAAGGTCTGAGTACCATTATTCTACATCAGGGTGCCTCTCAGGCCCCTCCAGGAGGAAAATTATCTGGTTGCTAATTCAAGGGAAGGCACTGGTGGCTTCCTACAGTCCCCTCTTGGGAGAATGTGCCATTCAAAAGAGAAAGCAGTTCACACACACCAAGTTTCGAGCCCCGTGTGCACACCTGCACACACACCTGTCCCTGAGAGGAGGAGACTGGGGTACCCTGTGCTCGGCTAACCAAACCACCTTGCCGCAGCGTGCTCCCCTCTGCAGGTGTCACCGTCTGATACCCCTGCCACCCTCAGAACTCACAGATGTCATCAGCCCAACTCCAGGCCTAAAGCACACAGCCTGCCAAGTCGCCATGCGCAGAGTTAGAAGGACCTCAAGAAGACAGAACTTACACGGAGACCTCCGAGCACACAAAGTGGGTCCTGGTGGCAACTAACCCACCTTACAGGAGCACTGGAGACAGCAGAGGGGGCGGTCAAATACCCTCTGTAAAGGGCAGGGACTCATAACATAGAAGCACAGAAGCCCAGTGCACCCTTAAGGCTGGCGAGGAGAAAACTTCTAACTGTGAGTGAAGACGGTGGCCACTGGTAACCTTCAGGAAGCGCAGGGTGTGAGACGGGTGCTCGGGCCCTCCCTCTCTGCAGCGACTCTCCTTCTGCCTACAGCAGCAGGTGGAAAACAAGGTGTTTGCCACCTACCAGCTCTCCTTTCCTGTGGGCTCCCCGATCAGGGAGCAAGAGTGAGGAGGTCAGGTGGCACCCAGCCTTCCTGAAACTTCACGAAGGCTCCTGGGCCTCAGCATCTGCATGGTGCTGCCCCCAACTCATGCCCAAAAGTCTGTGTTTCTCAGCCACTATCATCTCATGTCAAGTTCAATTTGCTATACCCTATTAGCTGGAACTTTACGAGAACATGACAGAATAAATGTTGTTAATCGTTTGTTCTCTCAGCTCCATACATGCAAATTGTGGCAGAAATTATGTACTTTTTTCCATGACAGGCTATAAAAGAGCTTCCCATTAACTTAATTTATTTCACTTGAATTCCAGAGACACTGATGATAAAACCCTCTTAAATGAACCATCTATCCTACTTTTAAAATGTATCGCTGATACTACATTAAAAAGAAGCCCGTTACCAGGAGACGGCCTGGAGACCAGGTCACCACTCACCAGCATTAATGCTTTGTGATACAATGTCAGCTGAATGCAGGTTG